TAAAAGGGAGGGGGCCAACCTCACATCTGGGGGAAGAGTGTTCCAAAGGGCAGGGGCTGCTGGAGAGGAGGCTTGCCTTCTGGACCCCATCAGTGAAATTCTCTTGCAGACGGGGTCTGTAGCATGCCCTCTCTGCATGACCGGGTGGGATGGGTTGATGTAACGGGGATGAGACGGTCATTCAGGTACCCTGGACCCATGCCATGTAGGGCTTTAAAGGTGATAATCAACACCTTGAATTGGACCCAGAAGCAAACTGGCATCCAATGCAGCTCATAGAGCAATGTGCTGATCTTGATGCACCTAAAATCGTGCGTGCAGCCGCATTCTGGACCAGTTGAAGCTTCTGGATACTCTTCAAGGGTACCCCCATGTAGAGCACATTACAATAGTCTATATGGGAGTTGACCAGGGTATGAGTGACTATTCGAAGGGCCTCTCGGTCCAGGAAAAGGTGTAACTGGTGGACAACACAAAGTTGATCAAAGGCCCTCCTGGCCATGACTGCCACCTGCTCTTCGAGCAGGAGTCATGAGTCCAAGAGGACTCCCAAGTTACGCACCAGGTCTGTCTGGGGCAGTGCCACCCCATCCAGAACCAAAGATGGCAAATTCCTAGGGGCCAAGGGGCCATTAACCCACAGCCACTAAATAATTTGTAATATCAAACTGCTGTCCTCTAATATTTGTACTGTAATGTGTTTATTTCAGAAAAGGTCCTGGAGAAAATATTGAAAACCATTAGTAGCAATATTCCTTTTGAACATTTTGATTATTTTTGCCGAAAAATGCAACTTGATGATGATACAATTGTATCTATTGAAAATAACAGGTTAGTGATAAGATTTAATGAGATATCTTGTTTTGTATGGGTTGATTACGGGTTTTCCTTTTTTGTAAGCCACCCAGGGTCACATGTTTTGAATCGGGTGGCCATATAAATGCTTAAATAAATAAATACCATGTATTTCCCCCTTCTTAATAGATATGACTTTTATTCAACATTTTTGTTAATGTTTTATTGGTACATTTTTCTCACAGCTCAATTGATTGTGGGGAGATCAAGCATTTTCCTATTTATATTTTTAGGTCTCTTATGTTAGAACAAAAGGTTGCTGAGGCTTTGAATTCCTGGAAAACGGCAAATCAAAATTTGTCTCCAACTGCTATGGTAGACCAGTTGATTAGAATATTGACCATGACTGGCCTCTATTATCTGACCAACAAAATCAAAGCTTTAAAGCTGTGTTCAAGACTGGTAAAGTTCTGAAAAACAAACTCTGTATTTCCAATTCAACAGCTTGGGCAAATATTAAAACTGAATACATTTATCAAGATTCAGTAGTTGATTTACTATGCTTAATCAATTGCATTCTACAGGGGCTGCCCTTGAAGACCACTTGGAAGCTACAACTGGTCCACAGTGAGGTGGCGCAGTCATGGGTGTGCTTCAGCAACACTGCTACAATGTGAGCTGCTGGTTTCAGATGCAATTCAAGATGTTGGTTGTCATCTATAATGCTATACATAGCTTATCTGTCATCCCACAGCAACCAGGAGGTATACTGCTATATCATTGCACCTGCCCTTTGCGACAACATTCCCCCTGTGATCTGCACAGCTCTGGCCTTGCCTGCCTTCAAGGAAGTATTTAAAACCTGGCTGTGACCCCATGATACTTACTTTCTCTAATTTGGCTTTTGAAATCCAGCCTCTTTATGAGTTGGTGGCATATGGATTTTGAGACCTGTCTTTGCTGCAATTTTGCTGATGTGAGCCAGATGTGGAGTAAAGAAAAAGGAGGAAAAAAACAGCTCAGCCACGGCCTTGAAGGGCAGCTACACTGGGGCTTGATGAGCTGATCTGGTTGCTAGCCTCGGCTGGTGTGGGCAGATTTTGAGTAGTAGTCCCATTGGTAGAGCGAGGCATGTACGTGTTGGGGACTAGGGCCCTGGGGGGACACCCACCTCCTCAGTTGCTGCAGACATGCTGCCAGAATAACCTAAAACTGGAGAGAGAGAAGGAGTGGAGAGTAAAAGTTTGTTGCTGGAGTGGAAGAAGCTGAAAAGAAAAGGCTGGAGAAGAGCTGGAGAGTAAAGACAGGTGTGCAGGGCAAATGAAACTGCTACTCGCATATAACCTTGTAAGGCTACCAGATTTTTAAACTGCAAACTTCCAGATGATCACTAGACAGCAGTACATAATTTTTTCTCTATTTCCCTATTTCTCTACCCAACATTAGGTAGCCTTAATAATTTGAGCTGGTAAGCTTTTCCCTATCCCTGGCATCAATTATGATGCTTAATCCCACTCCCCGGCTATATCTCCCTCCTGCCTAGCTACTGTATAAGGAACTCTGGACTGTTCTTGAGAACATTTAGAAAGTAGATAGAAAGGGTTACTAATTAATGCCAGCCCTAGGTTCAGATTCTGCTTTTATCCTGCATTTCTGTTGGCTACAGAAATTTCAGCAAAATGGGGACAATAGGGACACAGAAATAATTTTCTATAAACATCCTCACAAATGACATACAATTTAATGTAATCTTTTCCTTTGTGGCAGTTACACTGTGGACCAGAGAGCCCCTGAACACTTTTGACAGGATGTGGCCCTTGAAAGGCATCATGAATACTTTGTTTTATAATGGAAGAAGCCTGGCTAATATCATTGTACTGTGGAGGTAGTTGTTAGAGTTGTGCAAAAGTGCACCTTCAGGGGGGAATAAAAAAGGCCAAAACAGCTATTGCAATTGTGCAACCAAAGCCCCATCCCTTGGGGTGGAGCTCAGTCATGGAGGGCTTCAATCATTTGACTTTTTGAGGACCCAACTGGATGTGTAAGTTTGGAAATGGTTCAGAAGGGCTTCAGGCCTTGCACAAATACAACACCTTTCTGCTATACTGTAGAGCGATCCATCTTTTCTCAGGTTTCCATGTGCGCCTGAAAAGTGCTGTGGCTAATTTCACTTTAATTAATCAGTTCCTTAAAACAGCAACATCTTTTCTCAATGCAGTAACAAATAAGCAACTATACTGCAACACTGAGCAATGCTTAGAGCTATTACCTTTGCCATCATTTGTGGTATGTTGGTTATGAAGCATGCTAAGACTGCTGAAATCAATGAGAATGATTGCATGTTATTTGCATGTTCCAATACTGTTGAATACTCTTGGCAGCTAATTACTAAAATGCAAGGCCACACGAATTAAAACCATTTAATTTAAATTAACATTTAATTAAAGTTAAAGTCCTGGTGAAACAGAAATCTACTAGCTGTTTTAAAGGCAATGCACCAAATGCAGCTCCGGAAGAAGCGTCGCAGACACAGGCCATTCAAAGAGCGGGGTACTTCTGCACAACCGAAAAAAACACGAAAAAAATGAAAACCGAAGGTGGTTCATAACGAGAGAGGCCGGTCCTCAGCCTGCCTCACCACTGCCCGTGTTGCCAGTCTACAACTACCACCAGAAGAACGTCCAGAAATCAGGGCGCGCGCCAACCCTCCTCCGGAGTTTTCCAGTCTCGCTATCGCCGAGGCTCGCGCTGCTCCAACCCCGCAAGCCCTCCCGTGGTCACCCCGTCTTCGCGCGCTCGCCGATTGGCTGCTGCGCATTCTTCGTCAGATGGGCAGAGATCGAGCCAGCAGCGGCGCGCTCCGCCTTGGGACTGGCTCTGAGGCGAGAGCTGCGAGGCGCGTCCTGTGCGGCTGAAGGGATGGCGGAGCGGAGCTGGTTCGAAGCGGGGGGTTCTCTGCTGGAAAGGGTCGCGGCCGGCAGCCCGCTCTCCCTGCTTCTGGCCGCTTCTGCTTTTGCTCTGAGCTTGGGCTACTTGTTGCAGCTCGGCTCTCGCCAACAGCGACAGTCTGGTAGCAGCCGGGTGAGTTCGGTTGGATGGCGACCGCGTCGGCGGTGCAGCCTTTTTTGTTTAGAGGTGCGGTGCAGTTTAGGAAGGGGAGGGCTTCGTTTGAGTTCCCCACATGAACTCTAGAGGCAGGCGCTCTGATGTGATTCGGGGTGCAAAGGGCCGTCAGAGGATGTGCAGATGCGACAGCCTCTCTCTCTCTCTCTGTCCTTCGCGCCTTCAAAACGAAAACTCTTTTTTGTTCCCAAAATGAAAAAAGCAAGGATCTCTTGAACCTTTCATTGTACAGTAGAAGCCTGTCCTCAACATTCCCCAATAAAGGGGAAAGGATGGCCGGATGGCTTTGTTCATTGTGATGTCTGGCCATGTACACATCATCTGGCTCCAATTTGCTGCCCTTCCGATGTGTTGGGATTATGACTTCCAGAATCCTCAGCCAGTGTGGCCATTAGGCACTGGCAAAGGTGATGAGCAACCAGCCTTTCTTCCCAATTTACAGCTTCAGTTTCTATCCCCTTTCAGGCTACAAGGGTGGTAGATTTCAGTGGCAACTGCAGGTCTGAGCATTTTGCCACACAGACCAAAATGAAACGCATTTGTCCCCCTTTCCTGCACTGGAGCATCAGAAGTGGGCGTTGTGGGGCTGCTATGTAGCGGCCATCTACTGTGACCATCTCTGCTTAGCAACCACAAAGCTAATTGTGAATGGGGCTAGAGCCAGTGGCCACAATTTTTACGTTCTTAGCCAAAAGTTATGGACCCCAAATTAAAATGCTTACTTGTTATATTGGTAACTTATTCATCTTAAGCATCATTGGCGCACTCTTGATCTGTCCATCTAGTATTATTTTAACTCCTCCTTCAGTGACAGTGGTCAGTCCTCTGATTTGCTTGGGTGAGTTCCATGCAATTTTGTGTGTGCTTAAAGCCTCCTCCAATCCTAGTTTTGTTTGTTAAAACTGTTACCTTCCTAACAGTCAGATTTAGTATTTCTTTACTCACCCAAAGTCTAGCTTCCATGGCAAAAGGAAGTAGGAGATACAGTACAGCGCTCTTTTGTTAAAAACCAATCTGGTTGAATGTGTACTGGTCTCTATACAGCTATAAAAATAGTCTCTCTCTCTCTCTCTCTTTCTTTCTCTTTTCATCTGTAGAAGTATCCACCTTACATTCCATCAAATATCCCTTTTTTGGGACATGCAATTGCATTTGGAAGAAATCCTATCCAATTTTTAGAAGATGCCTATGAAAAGGTGAGTCTAATTCTTTTCCGCTATTAACAATTGTTCAGTAATAATACAATTATTCAAAATATTTAAACCGTAATATTTGTTTTGGATAACTGAAAGAACTACTGAGTCCATGTAACTGAATAATGATAAAACTGTAGTTTCATAGATATATATCAAACAAATGTAAGAATATTGATGTTATTCATTATGGACCATAAAAGCAGAGTAACATGCTTAATCTTTTTCCCACTTTATATCTTTCCCCAAATGTTTGCAGTTCCAGGGTTTCATTTGGGGATGCATGTGAAATCTGACAAAAACTTATTCCTAGGGCAGTGCAGAGCAAGGTGATAAAGCAATGTGGACTATGGAGGCAACATATGATTTGCTTTGCTGAAGTGAGAAGGTGGCAGTTTGCCTCAATGCAGAAATCAGGTGGCTTTGAACTGCTTCAGGCCAATGTTGCAAGGGGAAGCTGCTCCTAGCATTCTCCTCCAATGCTCGCCAGAGTACTTCAGGACTGGATGGCTTAGGACTACCTGCTGTACAAGCCAGCGGTCCCCATCATAGAGGGAGGTCCAGGGTGGCCCTCTCCACTGGGTGGTCTGAAGCCATCCCGTCTATCAGAATGTTGGGGTCTGTAATGTTCCACAAAACCTCTGACTGCAGGGTAGATGTTGCTTCTTTTGCAGTACTGCCTAGACCCTTTGGCGATCACTAGCATATGCCACTCACCTTTCTTGACTGCTTCAGGCTGGCTCCCTTTGGCATGCACTGCAGATGATTACCCAGTCTGCAGGCTCCCTGCCTCTGGAACATGCTGCAGGATAGCCTGAAGCGTGCCGCAGAGTCACCTGGCTTGGAAAACTTTTGGTGCTCAATGTAGGGCTCCAGGTTGGGTGGCTTCAGAAAGCACTGCAGGAGAGGGCTCTCTCAGGCACCTTCTTGCAGTGCTCGCTGAAGAAGGCTCCTTTAAACTATGTGATCTAAATCAGTGTTTCTCAAACTTGGCAACTTTAAGATGTGTGGACTTCAACTCCCAGAATGTCTGGGGAATTCTGGGAGTTGAAGTCC